GCACACACACACACACACACACACACACACACACACACACACAGACACACACACACACAGACAGACAGAAGGGGGTGGGTTGCGTAGAGATTGAGAGAGAGAAAGACATCGAGAGGGAGAGAAAGAGAAGGGAAGAATATATATGGGGGAGGGGGAGCGAGCACTCTTGAAATAAGCCTCCACACGCACTTCAAATGAAACGAAAAAACACCTTAAGCCTATATATGCCTATGTCTTGGCGTTAAAACAAAACACAACAATGCACACTAACGCAACCAGCTCGGGTGATGCCTCTACCCTACTTGAATAACACTGGCCAAACCCTAGCCCTCATGACCACAACAAGAGGTAGCCTACGTTGGAAGCACTCTCTCCAGTCCCGAGAACACAAAAACAAAAAGCGGTCACTTTAGTATAATTTAAGCAACAGCTGTATTATAGTATAAATAATAAATAGAGGAAGGAGTTATAGACAACAACAACAACAACAACAACATTTACTTCCACAGATATTAAAGCAAAAACACGGCACTGTTTATCTTTCTTACACGATCGACACAGCCATGACATGAATAGATCCTACCCTGGGACTGCGAGACACACTCTTGCCTGCTCACTGTGGTCAGTGGCCTCGCTTGAACCCATATCCTCCCCCACGAATCTAGGCCATACGCAACAATAATAGGCCTAGAACTGACCTGGCATGAACCGAAGCCCAGTATTGGCCTCGTTCCAGGTCGTTACTTTAGCATCTAGATATCTAGCCTTGGTGCGCATCATCCTACGTTTCTATAATATTATATTTGAACCTATTGACCTTAAATATATAATCTAAATCTAGACTCTAGAGTCTATATTATTATTTATTTTACCTCGATCTCGATCACAGGCTGACCACTTTGCCAAAACGTCAGTTGTTTTTTTTGGTGTGTTTTTTTAGGTTATTTATAAGAATAATAATATAACAAGTATTCATTGTCAACGTCACATCAAATTCGGAAAACACAAAATCTATAGATAGTGCCGACAATCTTACCATACGATCTGCTACACAAAAATCCCATCGGTCTCTAGCCTAGCGAAGATCGAGCCAGTCTGTTTTTAGAGTCCGCTGGTGTATTGATTTAGAATTTATTATGTAGAATATCGAGACCAGAGAGGGTTTACAGTAATAGGGAGGTGACACTCGTGGCGGCGCTCCATAACAACAGTGCATTGTTTCGCGTATCGCCCGGCGCGGGGCGCGAAAACACTTCGATCTACGCGCGGTGATCGCTGCCACGGCGATGCTCAGGGATGCTTTCATACTTTCATGTCATGACAAAATGTAGTACCGTCTGTAGTTAGTTCACTAGGTTACTAGGCCTTTAACAAAGAAAGAGGCCTGCTGTGATTTCTATCGCACATTTTAGGCAAATCCCTGCCTCCCTCGGCCATAAACTGTAAGACTTGTTTTTGGCTTAAGTTAACATACATTCTAATAA